TGGACTCACTAGTTAAGATATTTCTGATTGGTCAGAAATTCTGACATAACTGCCCAATAACTATGCGAGGTATATTTCTGATTGGTCAGAAATTCTGACATAACTGCCCAATAACTATGCCAGGTACTTACTCTAGCACACAGAAGACGCTGTAATTATGTAATTACATAAACTGTAATCCTTTGGTATATGTATGTGTACCAATATTCTACCAGACTCATCGTGCGGATATATCTTTCCGATTAATGTTAACATTATTCATGCAAGATTAGCTATGAAACTTTAGTAATTAAAATATACTTTTGAGCTCCGATAGTCTGATAAGAAATTTTGTTAACATCAAAAAAATCGACTGAATGAATCTTGTTATGACATTTTCTACCGTTAGAGGGCACAAGTTCGTTTCGATAACCATATTTTTCATGGTAAGTTATTAATTGAATATTAATAGTTATTAATGAAACGATAATATTTGAACAATGAAGTGCCTCGAGTACGAGGGGTCATTCATCATGGCAGCGCCCACTGGAAGCCACCGTCTTAGGTCAAAGGTCAAACATGTTTATTCTCCTTAATGCCAACTCTCTCAAATTAAATTCTTTGACAACGCTAATTAAGGAACAAAAAACATATCGTAAGATACCCAGCACATAAATACCGCAAAAGGTTACTAAAAACAAAAGGTAATAATCGGTTATATTCGAGAAGTTAGTTAACAAACAATAAATTACAAATTCCTTGCTAAGTTTGCATGTAGTTTGCACAACGTAATTTTCTGAATATTATATACATTAAAACGTAACGAAAAGAATTTAAATTACCGTGCGTTGACAAACAGTAAGAAAAAAAGTATCAAACATTTTAAAGGGCAGGTATCACGATTTCCCGAGTTTGATTTATCTAATTCAAATATTACTTATCCTTACTTAATACATAAGATTTCTTTGTAGTATTTATTACCTAATATTTTATTATTCTCTTAGGACTAACCGTAGCTCTGTTATTATAATTTTGTCGTTTAAAAATGAGGCTGGAACTAAGTAGTTTAAGTATTATGAAAGTCCTTACAGAAAGAAAATACATTTAGTAAAACTATTTCAGAGACGCTAGACTCGTTGGCCTCATTTTCAGTCTTAAGCGCACGAGGTTCCATTTATTCCGTCTTCAAATACATATATATCAACGGCGAAGTTCAAAAGGAAATAATTGTACAAATAGAAAGGAAATAGTTACCGTACTATTAAGGCCACTTGAGTTACAATGAAACTTAAAGTCCTCAGATACTTTTTCTCCACTAGGTCTTCGGAATGTTGACTGTGTATTACATCCAGCTGGGTTTCTCTGGACAGATGGCTCTTTTGTAACCAGCGAAAACTCGGTAATGCAGCACTTTTCATAATCTGAGTGACGTCTACAATTTTTCTGTACACGTGGTAGAAGAATAGAGGCTCGTATGAGATGAGATAAAATATACATATTAACATCCAGTCACATTTTATTTATTTTATTAAACCGGATTCTCCGGGCCCTGGTCCATGGATTATTTCGCTACTTAAACATTATTCTGAGACTTCAACAATATTATTTCTTAACCAAGAAGAGTCACGTGATTTACGAAAAACAAATCCTCGCTCCCACTTTTCTTCTAAGAAAATGTTATGCAGTAAAAGTATATTAAAATGAACTGCACTCTTAAAACCTTAGACCTTGAAGTTTAATGTATGTGTTATAACTTAAGCTTTAAAATATTTTATATAAAGCGAGGCACCCGTTTTACGTCCGGGGGCATAAGGATTGAATTTGGGGCTTGAATTAATAAATTGAATCAGTAATTTGTATTTATATGCGTAATGTATTTCACACCTGATTTATTCACACCTACTTTATTCCACATCACAAAAATGGTGTCACATTTATTTTTTACTTTTGTTTATTTTGCTTTATTATTTTTACTGATCCTTCTCTACAGCCTCAGTGTTTGTTGATACTCTGAGTTCTTCTTGATAGACCACATCATAAGTTATTCTTCCTTCTTGGGCCAAAATAAAGAGATTTCTTGATGATCCCAGGAGCCCGCGCTATTGAGGGAAGGGGGCAGGGCTCAAGCAAATATTTTCCATACATACGATACCGAAAAATTCTCCTTCTCTCTCTCTCTTGTCCTCCGGGGGGACAGCGGTAACTCTTCGGATTTACGATGCTAAAATCAGGGGATCGATTCCCCTCGGTGGACAGAGAAGATAGCCCGATGTGGCTTTCTAATAAAAAAAAAAGTAGTACTTATATGCTGATGCTGCATTTTGGTGAGTCTTGCTAGGGGAAAAATAATATACACGATTGAAGGGGGTAAGGGAGGATGAGAGGCTCAGAATCAGGGGAAGCACTACGGCAAGGGTCTGACAATGTGCTTGGGTTGCCATTTTTCCTGGCAAAAATGTGAATGTTTGGCATTTTTTAAAGAAAAATTTTAAAAATCAACTAAAAACTTAAAATAAAAATTCATGATAAAACTCGAAATAACAAATTTCAGGAATAAACATTGGTCCAAGACTATGGAGTTATCAGCTAAGCAAACAGGGTGGTTAAGTCCGAATAATAAACAAAGACGTGCACCTTGATCCAATATATCAACCTACCAAGTTTAGTTGAGATTGATCCAAAAACTACGGAGTAGTTTGCGAACATTTCTTTTTTTTATTTTTATTTTTATAGGCCCGGCATGGCCAGGTGGTTAGGGCGCTCGACTCGCAATCTGAGGGTTGCGGGTTCGAATCCCCATCACACCAAAT